GGTTGCTCACCCCTCACCCTATTTAATTTTTCAGATGAATTAGTGGGCAAGACGATGACTAAATCGATTAAGGCTGAATTAGAGGAGAGTAGTAGAGCTTTATTTATTAATTGTAAAGTTGTAAGATTTTGGAGCTATTTTTATAAGAGAAGTTTATTTTAAACTCATGTTTCGGCATCTTTTTATTTTAGTTTAGTTATTTTATTTTCTCACGCACCGGGCATAGGGATTTCCACCAACCCCCGAGTCCGAGGCGTGACATGAAGTCCTACAAGAGGGTGTACATATAACACGTATCTAAAGTGGTGGAAATATAACTGGGAGGTTGAGTCGTGTACATGACGGAAATTTTAAAAATAACATAATGGATTAAAAGTTACAAAAGGAGTTTCACTAAAACACCCAAAATGGAGGTTGAAATTATAAAAAAACCCAACACCCAAAACACTTTATAAACACACCCAAAACCCATCATTACACACACTCAAAACCCATTTATAAACACACCCAAAAAGTTGACTTTGGGGTTGATTTTGGGTGTGTTTCTATGTTTAAATAGTGCTTGGGTTTTTTTATAAATACATGTTTAGGATTGGGTTTATTTATAAATTTGTAAAGGAACTAATACTATTTGCTCATTCAATATCTTAATATGTTAGTCTTGCTCTATACAATTGGAATACTATAATTGTCAAGCTCCAATGAATATATTTATATTATATGTGGTGTTTCATGTAATTAAAAGTTTAAATGAAGATAGTTTAAAATTTTAAAATACATACATACATAAAATACAAAATGGAATATGGAATAGTATGATACTTCCCTACATTTACCACATATGTAGTACGTTTTGATATAACAAGAACACATATGCATTTTTTTTGTTATATTCAAACAAGCACATTTGCCAAAAATATATACTCTTAAAGTTATAAACTATTATGTTTCATATATTTTTTTGGCAAAGCCTATTTTAGTATATATGAATATTTGTATGTGACCTAAGAAATGAAACATATATAACACCTATACACTAAAAATAATGCAATTATCATAAGAAATTCAAAATTTTCTAGAAAACTTTGGAAAAATTGGATCATAATGGGTTCGGAAAACTTCGAAATTTTTTTGAATCGGAATTGCGGAATTTTAGGCATTTCTTAGAAATTTCGGATTTGGCATTTTCGGATATCAGATTTATCGAAGTCGGATTTTTTTTGGAAATATTTGGACTGGAATTGGTCGAAATCGGATTTTCCAATCCAATTTACACCCCTATTCATTTTCCAAATAAATAAAATTTTTGTTATGAGCCTCAATTTTAATCTGTGCATTATTTATTGCTTGGTTTTGAACAAAATGTTCTTGGTAAGTGCCCCATCCATGCTCACAATTTTTCCTATGTTTAACCAAATTTTTCCCCACTCCCTAAATATCGCTTGTATAAAAAATAAAAATAAAAACAAATGTGAAAAAGAAAAACACTTTAAAAACTGCTTAGCCTAAGCTAAACACAAAAATCAATAATGAAGGAAACTCAACAAAAATAAATAGAAAAAAACAAACAAGTTTAAATATTCAAGATTTTAAACAACAAAATCGAAGAAAAAATTATATACTATAACAAGATTTTGGTTGAAACCTTCATGTGCGACTAATTGATTCTCTTTGTGGGGGCTAATTGTTTTTTATTTTAAAAAGTAAATGTATTATACACATATTTTTCACATATTATTAAATATATATATATTAAAATATTAAAATAAATTATATAGTGGTCATTATTTTCAGTTGTATCTTTTCAAAATTTTACCGAGTAAAACACCTACATATTTTATTCATACTTTTCCCTTTACATATTTTACTAATTAATTGCCTAATTTTTCCTTAAATATCAGACAAATGTATTTATTTATTTATTAATTGCCCATGTGTACTAATTTTTAACAAATCAAACATAATGAGCAGGAAGTTAAAATGGGCCGTTTGGGCTTTCGCTCAACATTTTTATTCGATCTTCGACGCCAATTCGACGCGTATTCGACGCTAACTCTACGCGTATTCTACACTAATTCAACGCTAATTCAACGCGTATTTGACGCGTATTCGACGCGTATTCGACGAAATATATACGATCGTCGTCACCGCGAAACTTAGGACTCGATTTTGAAATCACATCCAACCCAATCCGCTCTCTGATCTTAACAAAAATTAGAAACTCTACCATTTACGCTCAGTGGCCGTCCTCTTCGTTATTCTCTTGATTAGCGCTTCAATTCTCTTGCGTTCTCTGAATTCGTTTTGGGCGTTCTCTGGGTTTGATTCGGTTTTCGGCCGGCTTCCATCTTTGGCTTCAACGGCTGTCGGAAACCCTAATTTTCCAACGGTCAGAGATTAAAACCCACTATTCAATTTCCGTTCTTTTTGCGTATTCTTATATAATTTACTTTTGGGTTTATTGAATTGAACCTAACGATTTGTTTGCAGGCTTTGATTTTGTGCACCCGTTAATCTACTTGCTGGGTTTTTCATATTCTCTCTGGTTCTTTTTTGTTTGGGTTTTGCATACTGAGTGATCCATTTGCAGGAGTTCTTATTTTTTGCTTATTGTTTTGTTGGATATTTGCAGGATTTTTTTATCTTTAGTCTCTCTCTCTCTGTCTGCTTTATTGTTATTGTTTTTATTTTTCACATATATATATAGTCTTGTGGCATCTTAACATAACAATGAGGTCTTCATATACCTTGGGGTCACAGTCTAGGTGCCCTCTTGAAGAACGGCTTCTTCAGAAAAAGAATTCTCGGGAAAATTTGGACAGGTTCATACCAAATAGGTCTGCAATGGATTTTGATTTTGCTCATTACATGCTTACTCAAGGTAGGAAAGGTAAGGAAAACCCATCTAGATATGGAAGAGACTATAGGAAGCAGTTGGCAGAGGCTATGAACATGAATCGCACTAGAATCCTCGCTTTCAAGAACAAGCCTCCTGCCCCTGTAGAGCTTTTCCCGAGCTACTTCTCTTCTTTGCCACAGGATAAACCGGCAAACCCTAAGCCACACAGACACATTCCTCAAACTTCAGAGAGAACACTGGATGCTCCTGACCTTATTGATGATTACTACCTGAATTTGTTGGATTGGGGAAGCTCCAATGTTATCGCAATAGCTCTTGCAAACACAGTTTATTTGTGGGATGCTACTGATTGTTCTACTTCGGAACTGGCCAGATTTGATGTTGAAAGGGGACCTGTTACCAGTGTCAGTTGGGCTCTTGATGGACGCCACATTGCCATTGGACTGGACAATTCCGAAGTACAGCTATGGGATTCAACTGCAAAGCAGTATCTGAGAACCTTGAGAGGTTGTCACAGATCACGGGTAGGCTCACTAGCATGGAACAATCACATTCTTACAACTGGAGGAATGGATGGCCGCATTGTAAACAATGATGTAAGAATTGGATCGCACATTGTTGAGACATACAGAGGACATGAACGAGAGGTTTGTGGGCTTAAGTGGTCGGCCTCAGGCCAGCAATTAGCAAGTGGAGGAAATGATAACCTGCTCCATATATGGGACAACAGATCAGTGGCACCAACACAGTGGCTTCACAGGCTTGAAGACCATACAGCTGCTGTAAAAGCCCTTGCTTGGTGTCCTTTGCAGAGAAATTTGCTAGCTTCTGGTGGAGGTGGGAATGATCGGTGCATAAAGTTCTGGAACACTCAGACAGGTGCTTGCCTGAACTCAGTCGACACTGGCTCTCAGGTTTGTGCTTTGCTGTGGAATATGAATGAACGAGAACTGCTTAGCTCACATGGGTTTACTCAGAATCAGCTTACTCTTTGGAAATACCCATCAATGGTTAGAATTGCAGAACTCACGGGTCATACGTCTAGAGTCCTTCATATGGCTCAGAGCCCAAATGGTTGCACAGTAGCATCAGCAGGTGGTGAAACACTGAAATTATGGAATGTTTTTGGGGACCCTGAGGAGGTTAAACCAGCTCCACGACTTCCCAAAGAGCCTTTTGCCCAAGTGAGTCGTATCCGCTGAACAAGAACATGAGAACTTACATCAGATGGAGATTTATGAACCAAAAACTACAATAAAGTGTGGGATGCAGAACTGGAACTTTGATCAGTACTATTCTTTTTAGCGCAAGTTGAAATGAAATGAAAAGCTTCAGCAAAAGTCTCAAACAGTTGCAGTGCTTACACGAACAGTGATCTTAGGCCATATTCTTTCTCAATTCCCCTATAGGAAGAGTGGTGGGAAATAGGAAATCTTTGTACTATTTAGTTAGTAATGGATTTCAAGAAATCCTTGAAATCATAGACATCAATAAAGCTAGAACTGATCTCTTTTCCCAGCAAAAAAGAATTCCAATTTTGGAATCACACCCCTGCCCTGATATATGCTTGTGGTTGTCTTGTTGATCACTCCGATTAGACGACACCAGTATGCCACAGAGGCCACCGAAACCGAAGGGGGAACTTTGTTTTTGAAGATTCAAGTAATGTGGAGCTGTTGGTGCTGCAGGCCGCTTAATTAGTACTGGCATTTGCCTAGATTCTATTATGTCTCATTTTGTTGACCTGTAGCATGCTGTATTAAACTAGCTTCCTAGCAGCAATGACATTGTTAATGTTCTTCCTTAACACTTCCTGCTTTTTTTGGGTAGTGTGTTCCCTGAATTTTCAATCTCCTCTCCATAAGGTTTCTCTTCCAAGTGTGTTCCCTGAATACAATTATCATGTTTGTAATTTTGGAGATCCAATTAAAGCTTTATCTTTTGTTTGCCAAATAAAAAAGTTTTTATGAGATTCAGTTTTAATCCGTGCATGGTCCATTGCTTGGTTATGATTTGACCAAGATGTTTTTGCGATCATGATCTCAACTTGGATTTATTAAGACAAGGAATGATCATATAATCCTCAATTTTCACACCCCAATCGAATTAAGGAACATAAGCAACAAAAATATCCTTTTTCTAAAAATCTGACGAATGAATTTGGCTCTTAAATCATAATAAATCAATTCGCTACATGGATTTTATTAAGACAAGGAATGATAATATAATCCTCAACTCTATCCCTTGATTTATTTCCTGCGCTCAAGATCTGACCTCCATCTTCCTCGATACTGGTCCAACAAAACAAAGGGAACATTACTTAGCATGATCAATATGCAAATATTAATGTAAGCACAAGATATATAAACTCAGTAGTGCTACATATAATGAAAGCACGATCAGTCATGTACCGTTACATATACTCATAGTCTAAAATATTGATAATTTCGACGAAATATCGAGGATATTATCGTTTTTTCAAGTCACGGATGTTTTGGAACGTATCCATACACATATCGTATAAAAATCGATAAAATCAGAAAATATCAATGTCGATAATTTCGCTCACACTTCAGCAATATTTTGTCCAAATATCATTATAATATCACTATAATATCGAAAATATCGATGTAATGGAAAAAAAGAAAGAAAAAAAAACACAAAGCACACACACAAAGGGGATTTGAACCCCTTCATATCTCATTGCTTTTGGGATGGAATCGAGCGGCTCATGAAAAGAATATGAGACCCAATCTTCAAATGATTTTGCTTATGGACAACGTCAACTAATCTTGGATCCATATGGGTCGCATGTTACAATTACATGCAAAACTATTTTAGGGATTTATCATTTGATGACTACTCTTCACAATATACTTACCCTACATATAGAGATGATGAAGATAGTGAAAAATTTGAACCTCATAAGAACTCTATGTGGTACTAAGTCACTCATGTATCTTATCATGCAATGTATAAAGTGTAAAATATTATAGTAAATCATTATATATAAATGATTTTTCCTTCTTCGATTGGGGATGCAGAATTCTTTTGACAAATGTGGTCCACCTCGGGTAGATCCGTCTGCTAGATAATACCCATTCTAGCAGACGGTATTGTTGATTTCATAGGTGATTTTCAAGGCTTGACATCTCAAGACATCGTTGAATACTGGGGATTGACCCAACATGTTTAGGTGGTTTTGAGATCCAACAACTCCGAAAAAGGCATGTCAAACCCATGTATCAAATCCAATAACGGCTTCCAGAATGATACTTTTTTGCCCTTTCCTATTCCCATAATCTCCTTGCCACGCAGTTGGGCAATTCTTCTATTGCTAGTGCATACAGTCGATGCTTCCAATCATGCTTGGAAAACCTTGAGCTTCAGCTTTTTGTAAAAGCCTATGGAGGTCCCTAGGCATAGGTTTGCCAAGGTAGTCCTTGATACAGAGAGTTTTGATTGTGTTGTTAATATGTTAACTTGCAATTGTACGGGCCAATTAGTAGTATAGCAAGACAAGTACAAGGTCGTACCCACAAGGACTGAGAAGTTAAACTTAGTTATGTACTTAGATTATTGAATTCAAGAAAGTAATAAATTAACTCTAAAACAGAATTTAAGGCGAGAGTGAGTTTGGAAACAATTGAAGCAAGATGAAATTACAAACAAAAGCAAAGTGAGCAAGTGTAACAAAGAGTGGTCTTAAAGGCTGGAAAATAGAGCAAGTAAACAAGTGCAACAAAGAGTGTTTTTAAAGTTGAGAAACAGATTTGGAGGCTAAGGCATTCGATTCACCATAACAATTCAATTTAGGGTTATAAGGATTCAAATGACAAGTCTAATTCATATTCAAAGATTGATTCTAGCTAAAGTATGATTAAGCCATGGTATCTGGTCCTAACCTTGTATTCATAATTCCCTAATTTGATTATCTATTCTCTAACCTAAAATTAAGCATTAGGAATCCATTAAGCATAGAAGAACATTTTAAACAACCAAGTATGTATCTAATCCAGGTTGTCAAATTCTCATACACACTCTTCCTATTGATAATTCAATTCGAATTAAAGCATGATGTATACTCTTAGTTCAAACCAAGATACATAAATCTGAATGGTAGCTAGACATTCTGATTAGTATATAAGCAAGTAGGCGTAATGAATAAGAACATGAATCATGAACCAAACTTGAAATTTGAAATTTATAAACCTAGAATATTCATGTTAGGTTACATCAAAGCCCTAGTTATGAATTTAGCTACTCATATTGAGAAAGAAACTTAGACAAAAATGAGAAAACATAATGAATGCAATAAGAGTAGAAAAACTCTTTTTCTGAAGTTCTTGTGGTGTCCAAGGCTTTTCCAAGTGCTTCTCCACGTCTAACGTTGCTCCAAGAGCTTCCCCATGTCTAGAAGGATGTATGACAACTAAGGAGGTGATTTGGGATGAGTTTGGGTGAGTTGTGATGGTAGAGAAAAAGGAAATTCATAGGGAAATTGAAGGAAGGCTTTTTGGAATTGTTTTGGTGATTTGGGATGAGTTTAGAGTGTTTGTTGATTGCTGGAGTGTTTGGGCTTGTGAGAGTGTTTGAAGATGATTTCTGAATGTGTTTGGGGAATGATGGGGGTGTGGAGGATGGATGAAGTGAATTGTGGGATTGTGAATCCCAGGATGTGTACAATTTGGTGTGGGATGTATGTGGTATTTATAAGGAGAGTGAAAGGATAATTATGAATTTATTTATGCCTCCACCAACAGCACTTGCAATTGAAAATCAGTTTCTTGGCTGCTGCACTTCACCAACAAATCCCACACGAAGCAATACCTCATGCATAGCTCATCATGATCAAGCATCAATTATCTCATGCTTAGGTCAGAATGACAAACAACTTTATGGGCTCACGAATTAGGCTTGCCTTAATCAACTGATGAC